CAGTATAAGAACACTTCTTCTTCTTCACACTACGGACAGCCCCGCTTTTGAGATCGTGTGATCTCTTTTCGCAGTTTAGGTGGCTGCCCGTAGAAAAAAGCGATCAACCTACGCCCCACGGGGCACACAGGGCCCCGCACCAGAAAGCCGTCCCCCGAACGACTTTATTTAGAAAGCATTATTACAACAATCAAAGTAACTATTAGGTATTACAATAAAAGATTATTTTTTAAACAGATGGGGTACAAAGCTGTGTCCAGATGCGGGTCTCCGACAGAATTGAGACCCGTTCTTGATTATATGTATACATGATGCATGTTATCGGCATTAAAAGAGCACTGATAGAGAAAGATTTCTAAATGCTAGTTGTGACATTAACATTTTTACAATTACTGGAATTTGCATTATTATTTCAATGTTATTGCAATTGGGTGAAAATTGGTTGGTACCATTTTGATAAGATCATTAAACACCAATTGTTGAGATTATACTCTATGTATAGGAAAGAGGTCAATGCCCCTTACCAAGGGGAGGCTAATAGGAGATAACAGACCAATTGGGGATAACAGGCCTATCCCATTTCCTCGATAACTAAGGTATTATTATTGTTAATAATTGTTTGATGGTTACAGCAATGGTGATATCATTCAGACCGAACATTTGTAGAGGTTATACTGGATGTGTCTCAAAGAACATATATCTTATGGGAGACCAAGTGCATTTGAAAAACAAGTTGAGATATGTATTACAAAATATGATGCCAATCGATGAAATATAAGGTAGTATTTACATATATAGAATAGTTTCTGTTAACAATTGCACACAATAATTTTCTTTTACAGACCTGCCTTCGCTGATGCTTGTTGTCGGCATTAACTGAACATTGATGGAAAAGATTTTGAATACTAATTATGACAATTACACTTTAACAAATGTTAAAGTTCCATTATTATTTCAAATAATTACTATTTTGATTAAAACAGTTATTCCGGTACTCCGTTACATCGATGATTATTGAGATTATGCTCTAATGCCCCTTCCAAAGAGAGGCTAAATGGAGATAATAAACCTGTTGGGAATTGCATACCTTTTCCCGTTCCTCGAATAATAAGGTTAATTATGGCTAAAAATTATTCACAGCAATGTTAATAACATTCAGACAAATATAAGAACACTAATGAAGATGCGATACCATGGAGTGAAGAGGCAGATAGTGACACTTTTAAACTTTACAAAGAGGATTCAACGGAGAAAGATGACGACGAAATGAATGGAAGTATAAGGAACACAAAAAGATTTGATGAAAGCATTAAATATTATTGAACATTTTAAAGTTCTTCAAACACTCCAGAACCAGATATCGCCTCATTCCATAAATTACAGACTTATCTAATCGACAATGTGTAAGCAAAAGCAATCTACATCGGATGTGCATTTCAATTTAAAAAAAAAGAACTATTCTAAATAAAAAGAAAAAGATGAAAATATAGCTATTTTATTTTATGGCATTCTGTATTGTATTTTACTCTACTATGTTTCGCTTTTAACCGTAAATCCATTATAACGGCAATTTTCGTCGCAATTATGCATTTTCGTCATAGTGAACTTCTGTTCGACTTCACAAATCTTACAATCAGTTTTAACCAGAATGGGACAAACCTAGAAATATTTTTGACATTCCATCACCACGAAAATTCAACTTCCTTAGACCATCATAAAAACCACTTTATGTTACTCCCCACCCACGAAAGAAAAATAAAGAAAAAGAAGAACACAATGCCCTTCAACCGAAAATCGCTGGTGAGATGGAAAATTGGATGGAGAAAAGGAATTAAAGACCAAAAAAGAAAGAAAAAACCCTATTTTCGTCGGTTGTCAAAGCGGAAGAAAAACGAACGGAAATTTCTAGCGGTACCCTCAGCCGAACGTTCGAAATCAGGAACGTATTAAGCCCGATTTGCTCACAGCATACGTTGCTATAAATCTTCCCCCCTCCGTCTCCTAAAGCTTACACTTTACCCGCTTGCCATAAACACACAAATCCTGTCAAATTCCTAATACTCGCGTTCATCACGGGAATTGATTTCCGTTGAAGCGGCTGGATTTTGGCAGACACAGATTGCCGGGGATCAGCAGTCGTTGTCGTTTGTTTTGAAATCAAATGTAAGGTCTGGGATTTAAATTAAGTCGTTTTGATTGAACAATATGTATGTATAAAGTTATGTAAGAGCATTTTGATGTCGGAATGATATGCAAGGTCGAGGTGCGTTGATTTTGCTAATTATTTTACATCAATTTTTTAAAGTCGATTAAATTTATATTTTTATAGGAATATAATAAATTCTTTCTAGAGACCCCCCAAAAATATTATATAATTCTTACAACAATTATTTATAAGTAATGACAATAATACAGTGGATAATTGATTAACGAATATAATCTGTTCAAAGACGATTTTCGTTTCCCAAATAGTTCGTTAATCGATCACTAATTTACCATTATTTATAAGGGAAATTTGGTAAATACTTTCTTGAAACCCCAACAATTAATAATTATAGTTTAAAATAATAAAATAAAAAATTATAGTGTGAAACAAAAATTAACGTGGATGATCGATTAGCGAATTTACCGATCATCCGCTCAAAGACCCAGTTTTTTTGTTAATCAATAAATTGTTTCAACAATACATTGGGTGATCAATTAACGAACATAATTCGTTCAAAGACGATATTCGTTACCCAAACTGTTCGTCGACCGATCACTGATTTACCATTGGTTTTAAGGGAAATTTGACAAATCCTTTCTGGAAACCTCCAAAAATTAATAATTAATTATACAAATCTTACTTTATAAGTACGTAATAACAGTAATACCTTGGATGATTGGTTACTGAAATAACTTTCAATAACCCAAAGTTTTCGTTGACCGATCAACGAATTATCGTAGATTTTCTATGAAATTTGATGAATTAGAAATTAATGAAGCTCATAAATAATATGACATTTACCATGAATACTTATATACAAATACAATAATACAGTGAGCGACAGTAGTGTCGTACGTCAAATTGTTAAGTTCGCTAGTTTGGTTTCTATAGTGAGTTTTGTTTTTGATAATCCGCTCTTAAGACCCTATAATATTATCATTTTTTTTAAATGTTCAGGAAAGGACTGATGGAAATTCAAAATATATAAATTAGCTACGCAGCTCACAAAAAGGTTTCAATAATTTAAAAGTTATAAAATAACAATAAAAATAATAAATAATAAAAAGATAAATGTAATAAAAAAATATAATGATAAGGTAATACAGTCGGACCTCTATTTAACGAACCTCTATTTTGAATCTTTTCTTGGGACCAAGAATCTTTGAATTTCTTCGTAAAATAACCTCCAAATAGCGAAGTACATTCTCTATTTAACGAACTTTTTTCTTGTGATCCAATATTTTTTTCACCCTATTCCCTCTTTCTAAACATTTCACACTTATTCTTTCTTTTAGCTATATTTTATTGTGATCAGACCTTGAAGCTGGAAAATGTCAAAGCGAAAAGTGTTTAGCATCAAAGAAAAAAAAAAATTAATTCTTCATGAGGTGATAAAGGCGTGAAAAAAAAAAGGATATTGAAAATTTGGTATTCCTCCAAACAGCTTATCAACCATAATAAAAAAAATCAGATAGATACAAAATTATGATTCATCGAATTTTGTTCAAAACGTTTAAAAGCATGTGGCCCGTAAGATGTGGATGAGCAGTTTTGAAGTGGACAGTGTGGAAATAAAACAATACAGCAATGAATTGACGAAAGAAGAGATGAAGATTGAAATGACATGATGCAGAAATCAACAAACCTTTCTGTATGATGAAATGCTAAATTCATTAATTTTAATATAAAATTATTTTTTAAAAATTAAAATACAATGTATCCCTGCAAGCTTTGTTTTATTCTGGTTTTCCCTTGCTGCCGATTTCTTTTGATGGGTAAAATATATAAAACAGATATTAATTTAAAAAATAAAGGTGTGATTAATTACTTTTTTAATAATATTTAGTGTTTATGAATTTAAAATCAGTTTTGCGTAGTTTAAAGTATTTTAAAAGGTGAATGTCTATTTAACGAATTTTCCATATAACGAACTTTTTTTCGGGATTTAGCGACTTCGTTAAATAGAGGTCCGACTGATACATATATAAAAAATTACAATAATCTGACTCTTGTTACAGAAACCTTTCATAATTGTATAAAAGTTCATGCCTTCTCACTTTCAATTTAGTCGCAGTTTCCATTCACAACTGTTCGACTGGCGAGTTCGCTGTTGCTCCTGTCAATTTGGCATCACACTTTCTGTTGTTCATCTCCTACAGCGGCGCCAACAGATGGCGGTACATGCAGCTGTACAAATTTTCCATTCTGTGTCGCTGCTTTTTTCTTTGTTCTCCATTTTTTAATGCGTCAATTCTTCAACGCGCAAGTAACGTTACTATGTTCCCCGCTTCAGTGCTATAATTTTTATTATTTAATTAATTCAGTATTTTAATTGCTTATTTAATTTAATAACTAGAATTTTATTAATGGTAATTACGTTGTATAGTTGCTATATTATTTAATTTTTAATATTAGTTTCATTAATATTTTTTGATAATTAAGACGATTTCCATTCAGTAGTTTTAACCTTGCATCTGAATTTCGCGTATACATGAATTATTGATCAAATTTAAGAATTCTTTGAATGCAGGATCAAATATCCCTAGCATTGGGTCAAGTATCCCAATTTCAAGGATACTTGACTTTAGGTGATTTTATGAAATGTATTTATTTTATGATTAAATGAGATGTCAATTTAGCATAAGTATATTTTTCATTCTTGAAAACAAATTCTTTTATACTAATAATCAAAAGATTCGAAAAAAATGCAAGAAAAATTCAAACAAGGATCAAGTATCCCTACCTCCCTTGTTTATTCTCTGATGCATGACGAAGTTGACAAACTCGTATGCGAGCTCTTGTGGCCTAATGGATAAGGCGTTGGCCTCCGAAGCCAAAGATTTTGGGTTGAAGTCTCAAGTCCCACCAGGGGCGTCTTGTAATAGCCATGATTTATTGCTATTATTTTATTGTCTGGGATAAGAAAAAATGTATCACAGAATTTGATTGGAGTTGATTCATCTTCACATAATGAAATTTAAATCTGGTACCCATTTTACATCATAATGGTGGTTAACAGGTGTGATATCAAAACTTGGCGTAAAGTAACGTGAAGGTAGATGATATACGCTGTTACTAAACAAGAAAATCATATTCTAAATAATGCTATACAAAATAATTTAGTTTTAAGGCACTCTTT